CGCACGCACTCTCCACTATCAACTCATCCGGCACTTGATGTGGATCGGCCAGGATCCGGCCCGTGATATCGGGACTTCTACCAAACACATGTTGCACAGGCGAAAACCCTCTTACATGATCCCTGGCATTGAAAACATGCACTGCCTGGGCCAAGAGTGTCTCGGCAGTCGCATCCTCGTCGTCAGAGGCCAACTTATGCATTACGGCTTTCACCCCTTGCACGGCTTGCTCGCACACACCTACTTGCCAGTGGCCGTCGGCCGGAATGATATCTAAGTAGATTCCGTTACGATCACAGAACTCCGTCATGGCCTCTCCCCTGAAACAACCGGCGGGATCAACTCGAAGTGCCCTTGGCATTCCGAAGTACTGAGCCCAACCCTCCCGCAGGAAGTTCAGGCACATGGCCGCATTTGGCTGTTGTTTGGAACCCCGGCTCAACACCCTTGACACCCTGAACCGGGACCCTTCGTCAATGATCATCATGAACTGGACATGTTCCCCTGATTTTGGGTGTTGCCAATGGCCAATGTCAGCCGATATTGTGTGAAGTTTCGGGGGCAGGGCCTCCAGAGAGGCCAGATGACGGCTCTGAATGCGACCCTTTTCTTTGCACACGGGGCACTCAAACTGTTTAGCAAGGGAAATCACCTGTTCGGAGGCCTGTCTACGCTTCAAGGCTTCCACTAAAGTCTTCACACTACCGTGACCAGTAGCCGCATGCAGAAGGTAAAGTTGTCGCTTGATCTTCTCTTCACGTTGTTTCTGGTTGGGGTTACCCTGGGAACTACTGGAGGCCGGGCTGTGAAGCGCGTACGCCTGTTCGTCATCATCAGTTTCTCTTGGCAGCTGGAACCCTAACTCCTCAAGAAAATCCCAGTCATCCCTCAGCAACTCCGAAGACCCTCTCGAAGCAAACGCCGTCACCGTAGTTCGCTCTCCCTGCCACTCTTCAGGTCCATGCCAGGCCTTCGGGTTGAACTTGAGGAGTCGGTGTCGCACATCGTGCGCGTTGCCCTGGATCGACTCGCCGTTGGGCAATACCTTGGCCGTCGGCTCTTGCCTAGCTCTGTGGGGGTCCTCTTGGACCCATAGTCGTCCGTTTTGGTAGGGGCCGAGTCCTATCACTCGGTTCCATGTTCCTGGGTGGTTGTGCACGTCCCGGTGCAGCGGACAGCACCCATTACGGTTCAAGGCAACAGAGGTACATGTGAACGGTTCTCTAGCATGATGCAGCATGTACTGCACGACATAACGAGTGGTCCAAGGGAGGTGTCTAGTGTGGTTCGTCACACCGTAGTGGTTACCATACGCATACATGCCAAGAATCAAGTAACCCTCGGTTCTCTGTGTCATCATTCTTCGGACACGTTGTTGCTTCCAGGGAACCTTCACAAGAAACTGTTCCATGCTCCTATGCCGGTAGTCCTTGGAGTCCAGAAGCCTCTGGGCCTCACTCTCCAACTGGCTTATACACTCACGGTGCAAACCCACTAGAGCCTCTTCTACCTCACTCCCAGAAGCCTTCCAACTCCCTTCGCCTATGCCCTCTGAAGCTTCCCCAACCGAAACCCCCAAGCCTTCTCCTGCCACCCTGTTCTTAAGACAGCAGTGTCCACAGCTCCTGGGCCGTTGGGGTAAGTGCACTTCAGTACAAGTGCATACTTCTCCTTCACCAAACTGGTCTGGCAACGGGCCTTTAGTTCCTCCCTCATGGCACTCCGACCACAAGGATTGCATGGTGTGTTCCTGCATGATGGCTTGGGCTGCTCTCCGAACAAATTCCGAAGTGTAACCCTCGCACAACCTCACCGCGCTTCCCTCACTTCTTGCATGGGTGTAACTCTTAGGGCACCTGCACGGCAACTGTAACTCATTGGCTAGCCTCTGGTGTGTGGTGATCACACGCCATCCCTGTTGCAGCAACGGCTCCTGTGGTCCTGCTCGGAGGCCCACGCGACATCCCTTCGCGATGGCCTCGTACAAAGCATACTTAGCCCTTAGTTGTGCGAACATGGGTAGCCGCCAAGCTTGGCATCTCTCTGACATTTCTATGGTGACATGTATTCCCTTTTGCACGCAAGCATGAAACACCATACATGTGCCTACATACACACGCATGGCGGCGTCCCTCTTGGCCTGCAAAGCTTGTTTTTGCTCTTCGGTTCTCTGGTTGGCGTTTTGCATGGGAGAGAAAGCGCCCCCCGGTGGAGCGATCCAACAGTGTGTTGGCTTCTCTAGATCCAGTCGTTGCAAGATAAGGCGCACACCATCATTTGTGCCTAGATCACAAGCATTCCATTTCGAGCAACGTACTGCTGCTCTGTCATCTTGCGCAAGCTCCTGGATCTTGGCCGCCAACAGACTATTGGGTTGGCAGGCGATTTCCATCATCACCGGCCGACTCTCTCGCACTAAGCCCTGGAAGATTGCTGAGGCCACGGACCATGACTGCTTCTCTAAGGTCTGTGCTTGGCTGCGAGACAGCTGTCGACTTAGTTTCTGGGACGCGCTAAGTGCCTCACTACCTTGGGTCTCGTGATCCTCATCCCTTAGTAGGTCCGCACTCAGGAGATCGGGTCCTTCTTCGGCCCCGGCGACTTGGTCGAGCTGTTCCTCGGCGACTTGGGATCCTCGTTGGAGCCACGTCCCACGGCGGTCTTCCGCTGTGGCTCGCCCTTGAGAGACGCAATCTCCTCCTTGAGGCCCTCGATCGTCTCGTACATGCTCTTCAGAAGACTCTCGGAGTCTCCGGACGAGCCCGCTACCTCGTTGTAGCCCTTCGTCTTCGTCCCGGTGAGCTTGAGCAAGTCGATCTTGGAGGCTGGCGCCTTCATCTCGATGTCGTCCTCCTTGGCCAGCCAATTGGCCAGGCGTGCCAGTCGGGGATCGCATTCGCGGGGCCGAGCCTTGTGCTCCTTCTGAACCCAACGACAGTATCCCTCTTGATCGCGATGAATCTGGCGGTATGTCAGAGCCGCATGCGCTCCGAAGCCCACCAGGTCCGAGGGGTGCGCCTCGGCATGTTGGTAGATCTCCTTCATGGCCTCGTGTTGAATCCGCGGAATGCTCCATTGATCCAGATTGGCCATCCGGAGCTCGGTCTCGCAGAACTTGATCAAACTCCGTTTGTTCTTGCTCGACGCGTTGAGTTGGGCCACCAGGATCTCGTAGGGCGACCGGTCGGCTGGCTTCTTCTTGATCTTCTGACTCATGTCCTCCCCGGACACTTGCTCCAACCTCAGTCGCAACTCGACCTTGGTCCAGCTGCTGGGAGGTTGCTCCCCCAACTGTGCCAGAGCCAGTCGAAGCTCCTCGCGAGAGAGATCCGTCATGGTTCTGGGCGGCCGACACGTGGTGCTGAGGCGGAAGACTACCGGAAGCTTGACCTGAGTGTGCTACGTAGGTCCGCTCAGTCGCCTGCTGGTCATCGGTGGCTGTCTGCGAAGACTGTTCCGGAACTTCAAATTTAACCCCTTCACCCTCACACCTAGTATCCTGATCCCTGAACCCTTCCTGTACACTTTGGAGTGGTGGCCTTTCTGAATTCGAAAAACATGGATCACAACCTGTTTCAGTTGTGTGATTCCCCCTTCCTGATCCCGTGCGACTCTGGTCCTTCCCTTTTCTGTCAGGATGCAAAAAGGGAAGGTGTTGTCCCTACTCGGAAGTGTCGCTATCATTCCTACGCTTCTGTACATAGCTTTCCAAACTGGGCACATCCATGATGGCGGTCTCGGCATACTTGTAGAAGTCCTCGGTGAGGGGGAACAGCTGGTGCCCTGCACTTGATCGCTCCAGGCGGATGATCTGACGCTGGTCAAGGTTTCTGAGAACCATCAAGTCAGCACTGTAGTCCACTACCGCTCCCAAGGCTCGAAGGGCATCGATGGAAAACAAGATAGGCCCCTCGCCCGCATCCAGCGCGTGCACCTTGAGTGTCCCCGGTTTTCCACCTGCGCTGACATTCAAGTGCACCGTGGAGATGCACGTGTCCTCGGAGCTGTTGCCGAACCCGAAACGGGGCCGGTCCTGCAGGTCGATGTGATTTACGACCCCCTTGGCTCCTTGCATCACACACTCCAGCGCCTTGATAGAACCCAGACTCTTCGTAGCCCCGCTGTCCACGACACACTTGCCCTGAAGGATGGCTTCCTGGGTAGAGGGGCGGCTGGTGCTCAAGGCCTGCTCCTCAGTCGCGGTCTCCTGGTAGCCTGCATAGCACACGAAGGGCGCCATGTTCTCGGGTGGCCCCCCAGGTGCCTTCTTTTTGGGGCAGTTGGCTGTCCGGTGCCCCAGCTGTCCGCAATTGAAGCAGCTAATCTTGGAGTCGTCTCGAGGGCCGCTGCTGCCGCTGCCCTTGCCTCCACCTGGGCCGCGATAGTAGCGGCGGTTCAGCCGCACTTGCTTCTGCCTCTCCCTGGCATCCTTCAAGGTGCGTCGCGCTCCTTGCATGGCCGCATAAGCTTGGTCCGCCTCCTCGGCCGCGCTGCTCCACAAGGCGTAGCCCTCATCATTGAGCTCTTCCTCGGCCTCGAAGGCAAGGTCGTGACTGGCCTCGTCGCCATCCTCGTCGTACTGGTCCTCGTCTGCCGTCATTCCCACGAGCCCCTGATGATGACGGCGCTGGCCGTCCCGCTTCTTGAGCTCGTGCTCGGGGAACTGTGTCCTCAGTTCCTGTGCCATCTTCTGTAGATTCATCTCGCCCTTGATCGCCGTGAGGACGAGATTCTTCTCGCTTTGTTCCAGCCCAGCATCCTGTAAAAGGAACCATGCTTGTACGAACTCCGGAACCAGTTCTGGGAGTTCCCCTCCGTCATTGCCCGTCTCGGAGCCCTGGTTCCAGGACCAGGAGTCATACATACTCCCTGCCCAAGCTGCGTTCCATCCCCAGCTCTGCCAGGCCCATGGATTGCCTGACCAACTCCACGAGTTTGTGCTCCACGCCGTCTCCTCGTTCACGGTCGCCGGCGTTTCGGTGGCTGGGGTAGCTGTGGGTGCTGCTGGTTGTGTCTCCTGCGTGCCCGCATCCGTGCCACTCTCGCTCACCTGTGAGTCCACACTACTTCTCCGGCTGTAGTAACCACCATAGTCACTTGTCGCGTAGCTTCCACGACCCTTCCCCCTCTGAGGCCCGGTAGTGTCGTGGTGGGGTTGTACTCGGCTCATAGCTTGTTGTGCACGGATGTAGAGCTCGCACTTGCGGGAGATGTAGCTGCCCATGCCCTCGCCATGGTACCGGCGGGAGCCCTTGAAGTACTGCGCGAGGAGCTCCGTCAGCTCCGGAAGCTGAGGCTTCCCCAAACACTTCCTCAAGTGTTGAAGAAGCGTGTTCACGCCTTGGCCATGTGAGAGCCAGTCGGGTCTCTGGCCAACCACGTGGCGTCTGGCTGTCCCCGACAGTTCTGCTTGCAGCTTGGGCCACAAAGGTACCGTTTGTGGTATGGCGTGCCCTGCTCGAATAAAACGGCAGCTTCCACGTAGGATTGGAAACTGCTCGTGGTTCCGTCCCATGATGGGACGCCGTCCCGGCCTTTCGTCAGGCCTCCTGCCTGATCGCCACTGCTTGTCATTCCGCTACAGGAAAATCGTGTAGCGGCCTTGTCCCTGGATCTTTGCTCTCCGAGCCCCGTAGGGCTCCGCTACCATGCAAGCGTGGCGCTTGCACGGTGAAAGGCTCGGGCTGTTGATCGACACTCCAGCAGGAGAGACCCCTTTCACAGACTCGGCAAAGCAGAGTAAAGATATGGCGTCTTTTTCCCCTAGCTGAAAGCTGTGCTG